TTTGGCGACCGTAGATCCGGCGGTTATTAACGACGCCGGTAATGCAATTTGTGCTGGTTTTTAACCGCCAGAAACTGCCAAAATAACCGCCACAAATCACACATTTTTTTGTAGTGTATAGAGATAATGATATCAATTTTAGCTTTCACCTTTTCCTTTTCTTGATGCGTGTTAGAAAAAAAATTACTACTTAAAAGTTAAAATTTTAAGCATTTTCTATGTTATATATCTGAGGAACAAATAGAGCAAAATAGAGCAAGTAAATTAAAGATAACAGAAAGAAAAATAGAGCAAGTCAATGGCACTATTATTTACGTACGGGAGTTTCACCAAATAGGGAAATAAAATGGGATCAGTAGTACAGTATTATTAGTAGAGAAAAAATGGAGAAGACATGAGCATAAAAAAATGAAAAATTTACTTGAAAATTCTTGAAGCAGTTAGAAAGTCACTTCAAACAATCCTCCAAAATTTGATGGGTTTGGATGAGATTGTTTTATGAATTTGGTATTTATAGATTCCACTAAAAGTCCTTCAAAATCTTTCTAATACAACAATATTTTAAAATTCCTATATTTTTTTAATACCAATGGATTATTTTTAAGTTGTAAAAAGTCTCAAATGAATACTAATGGATTTTAATAGACTCTTTAAAAAATCTTGAAAATCCAGATTGAATACCACTGAATTATTTTAAGTGACATAAAATCTTGATTGAATACTAACATACCTTTTTACTAAAAAAAATCTTTTAAAATCCTATGAAATTCTAAACCAATACACCCCAAGTTCCTGAATAATTACACAATGATAAATAGCATTAAGTACAATAATATAATATTAATGTATAACACTGATTATTGTAATAATGACATCATTACTAACTAAAGCAGTGATAGAGTATGGGGGTGGGAGTGGTTGTTGACAATGATGGTAAGAGCCAACAATAGTATTGAACAAGAATGATGATGGTGGAACAACGATAATTATTGTTGTGAATATATTTGTTTATCGAATATTTTGTATTTAAGATAAAAAAAAAATGTTTGATAGTTTATTGAGTAACATGATAATATTTTTCTTTTAGTATTTTTCATCTAATTTGTCATGTTTTATGATTTTTTTTTGTAAATTAAATGTGAAATAATAATTAGTATGATTGTTTATTTTCTTTTATATATAAAAGCACTTCATTTTATTAAAATAAACATTTTTTTTACTTTTTAATGTATTTGTCTAAACTTTACTTTTTTTCTTAAATAAGTAGTTCTCTATTTTTTTTAAAATAATTGCTATTTACTTCTTACAATTTTGTTTATTTTTTTTTTATTTTAAAAAACACTGGTTTTAAAACACTTTTTTTAAGTTTAAATAAGCGGACCATATATTTTTTATGTCCAGTACCATAAGTTTTAAGGCTAAAGTAGATAAAGTAAATGTTCTGTTGTTGCAATTATTTATTGAAGAAAAAGAACAGTTGGAAAATGCATGTTTATTTTTCTCAAAAACAAAAGTTTTTACCTAATTATTTGGGCAAAAATAATCAATCACCACAATACAAATGACCTTAATAACACTTAAATAAAATTTTTAACAACATTTATTGTGTTGTCTATACCATGCTATTAAAGAGAGGTCTAGCTTTAGCAACACTTAAAAGTGTTGTTTTTGAACATAAATAGACAACACGTGTAATAAACTTAATTATTGGATTCCTCTATACTACATTATTTCAAAATAAGTGTTATTTAGGTCCCAATATTGTTTATTAAAGGAGCTATTTAATTATGCATTACAATAACACTTGTCGTGTCCTTGTCAAAATTTTAATTTAATTTATATTCATTTTGTATCTTTTTGCTTTTAATATATAATTAAATTGGTTTCTTAACGTTTTGAATGCTTAATGCTTTAATAATCCCACTCAATAAATTAGTTTTGTTAATCAATAAAATTTCTATCAAAGTTTCCAGAGTTTTCCTTATAATATGACAATCTAAAAGTTTAATACACATGTAATATCAATAGAATTGCAATAACCAAATCAAAGTGCAAAATGTTTAATTCAATTCACAATATAAAATCATAAAAAAAATAAAGCAATTTGTATTGTTGAACATATAAATTATTTTAAAAAAATCAGACCACACAATTGTATTACAATAGTTTCTAATAAAAACTATACTAAACTATAATTTTAGAACATATAACGACATTAAATTTTCTTAACTTTAACTAATTGATCATAAGAGTAAGTAGCAAATTGTAGTTAGAAAAGTACTACAAAATAAAAATTGAAATAAATGTAAGTTAGAATTGAATAATATTGAATGGTATGAAAATTAAAAATTAATTAATGTGATAAAAATAAATTATCATTAAAATTACATATTATATTTGGAATCATATTTTTATTTTGTGAAAGAGTTTTTTCATGAATCTCATCACATAATAACTACATCCAATTGTATTGATTTGATAGGGACACTATACAAGCCAAAAGAAAAAGAAAAGATTAAGTGAATGAAACATTATTGCTATTTTTAGCAATGAATTTGGCTAAAGAATCGAAATAAAAGACCTTTTTACATACTTGTATACAAATCCAAGTGATTTTGTTTTATATAAATTCCGACACCTTGGTTCCTTCTCACAAACACAATAAATGTACAATACTTTAGCAAAATAAAATATATTATTCAAGTCATTACATTCAACATCTCTTATATTTATTATATTGTATATAAATATTTGTAACTTGTCAAATATATCCTTCATGTTTCATTTATCTTTTGGATCACTATATAAGAAATCTAAATTATAAATTATCTCTTATGTGACATCGATGAATCCTTAAAAAATTAGCTAATAAATATAGTTAGCAAATTCTATATGGAGTAGAGGGTAGAAAGTAGTACTTAGTGTTGCTAGGGGGTTGACTTATCCTCATGAATATACATACTATACTACCCAAAGAGTGATGTCTATAATTTTGGAGTGCTAATGCTGGAGTTGATTATTATAAGAAAATCAATAGAACTGTAAAAATACATTGTGAAAGTGGTCAATAATACAATAGATAAGACAAAAGACTTGTAAAGTCTTTAAGAAATTATTGACTTGACTACTTATTTTTGCAATGTGTTTGTTTTGAGAAGTCAGTAAGATAAAAATTGTATTTATTGAATAAAAATATCAAATTATCTTTATTTTTTATATTTTTTCAATGATATTTATGTCATTTTATATATTTTTCTTCTATATTTTACACAAACAAACACAAGTTTTTATTTATTTAATCTTTTTATTTTTCTTTCCTTTCAAATAGCTTAACTTAATGCAGTTAAAACTCTAAGGAAGACTAATTTCCAACAAAATAGAAAGATATTCCTATACCAAGAAAAATTATATTAAATAGCTTAAAAATGTTCTCATTTTTCTTTTCTTTTACCTCATTTCTTTTCTATGCTAAACAAAACATCAGAAATATCCTATTTGAGATATGAACGTACACTAAATATAACTACTTCTATGTGTATAAATTCGAATCATAATTCGTCACGTTCTTTTCCCCATAACTTAACCCTAATACCTTGATTTTATAAAACATATATGGTATCTTCAATTCATACCTTCCAAATAGTTATGGACACGATTCATTAGTTACTTTTATTACACCTTTTAATACTCTTGGGTCTCCTTTCAACCAAATTTACCAAATCATTTTAATGAATCAATGAATTAAAGTTTTCCATCAGAATCTTAGAACTCAAACATAGAGTGAGTGGGCTATGATCCACAACACAAGCCCAAAGAAGACTCATCAAAAGGCCCATAAAAAGCAGCAACGCACTCCACCCGCCACGCCGGCGCGTGCGGATCCCTTCCGGGGACTGGTCAGCAACAGAGCCCGTCCGAAAAGGCGAGTTCGTTTCACGCGCCACACCCCCGTCTACGCAAACTTTTCAAAATTTCGCAAACGAAACCTCGCGCCACAAACTCCCATCTCCATTCCACTGGCGCGTGGGCAACACGGCACTCCCTCTCTGCACCCCAATTGGTGCGTGACTCCCACGCGCGAAACCCGTGGCGAGTCCGTGTCCCCAAAATTTGGTGCTATAATGGTTCCCTGTGGCGCAACCCCAGACGCGTCACCACCCACACGCACCCACCGTTGCCGTACACCTGTGACGCGATAAGAGGATGTGATATCCCGTTTATATACGTAGAGAGAGAAACACTCCGAGAGTTCTAGAGAGAGAAACTCCGTCTCCAGAGAGAGAAACTGCGAGATCTGATCGGAACCGAGGTAACTCTAGCTCGAAACCCTACTACTCTCTTATCTGCTTCGCTTTCCTTTTTCGCTCTCTTTCCTTCTCCGTCGATTCGTGTCTTTCACTTCTAGGTTATTCTTATTCTCCTCCGCGCGCGATTCGTCCTTTTCCGTGCTCGTAAAACCCTAGGTTAGGATTCTAGGGTTCGGGGAAGGTTTCAGGTCGAGGGAAAACGAATTAGGGTTTTGGATGTATGGCTTCGGGGTCAATAGTTGGAGATGATGGAGCCAAAGAGAAGCAGAGATACACGGAGAGCAAGGTTTACACTAGGAAAGCGTTTAAAGGTCCTAAGAACAAAGGTAACGCTGTGAACAACGTCAACGCCGTTCCTCCTCCTCCTCCCTCCGCTGCACCTACTACCAACAGTTCTGCCACGGTCACCGCCGTTGATTACAACAATAAGGACAACAGCACTGTCGATAACGGTAATGATAGGGTTAAGGATAATTGCAATAACGTCTCGGCTCAGCCGGCGGTGGTGCCGGAAGATGGGAATTCAGCTCGGCTGCATGTGAATTCGAGGTTGGACGCGGTTTCGGATGACTCCTCCAGCCTGAACCGTCTACAGGATGAGCCTTTGAGTCATCATGTTCGACAGGACAGTGTTGCCGGCTTGCGAGAGCAGTCGCCGGTGCCGGAGAATTGTGTTAGGATCAGTTTGGCTTCGCGGTCTAAGCAGGAGAAGCGGGAGCTGAGGAGGAAGCTTGAGAGTGAGCTTGATAGGATTAGAAGTTTGGTGAATAGGATTGAAGAGAAGCAGGGGCTGCTTGGTGGTGGGTATGGTAATTCAAATATGATGTTGGATCATGGGGTTGGTAATGGGGTTGGAGCTAAGCGTGCTCGCTCGGAGGCCACACCTGCGGTTGTTCCACGAGAGCATGCCCACACGGAGGCAGCATCTGCCGTTGTTCCACGAGAGCGCGCTCGCTCGGAGGTTGTGTCTGCCGTTGTTCCACGAGAGCGTGCTCGCTCGGAAGTGGCATCTGCTGTTGTTTCACGAGAGCCTACCCGGCCGTTGCATCAGTTGAGTGTGTCAGTGTTGGAGAATAGTCAAGGGGTTGGTGAAATTGTGGAGAAGGAGAAGAGAACACCCAAGGCGAACCAGTTCTATCGCAATTCAGAGTTCTTGCTTGGGAAAGATAAGTTTCCACCTGCAGAGAGTAACAAGAAGTCTAAATTGAATGGGAAGAAGCATGGCATGAGTGAGATGGGACATGGACATGGAATGGGATCCAAGCTCTTAAAGAGTTGTAGCTCATTGCTTGAGAAGTTGATGAAACACAAGCATGGTTGGGTGTTTAATTCTCCGGTTGACGTTGAGGGTCTTGGTTTGCACGATTATTTTAGTATCATCACACATCCAATGGACTTGGGTACTGTTAAGTCCAGGCTGAACAAGAATTGGTACAAATCACCCAAGGAGTTTGCTGAGGACGTGAGACTCACATTTCGCAATGCCATGACTTATAATCCCAAAGGGCAAGACGTTCATGTAATGGCAGAGCAGCTATCAAATGTGTTTGAGGAAAGATGGGCTATAATAGAGTCAAATTACAACAGCAATATGAGATACGGCCTAGATTATGGTGCAGCTATCCCTACACCTTCGCCTCTGTCTAGAAAGGGTCCTTCATTTCGGCCCCCGCCAATTGATATGAGACGGATTTTGGATAGGTCAGAATCAATGACACAACCTCCAAGAATCATGAGCATCACTCCTTCTTCTCGAACCCCTGCTCCCAAAAAGCCCAAGGCAAAAGATCCTCATAAAAGAGACATGACATATGATGAGAAGCAGAAACTTAGCACAAATCTTCAGAGTCTACCTTCTGAAAAGCTAGATGCAATTGTACAGATCATTAAAAAGAGAAATTCAGCACTTTCCCAACATGATGATGAAATTGAAGTGGACATTGATAGTGTGGATACTGAGACTCTATGGGAGCTTGATAGATTTGTGACCAACTATAAGAAAAGTTTGAGCAAAAACAAGAGGAAGGCTGAACTTGCTATTCAAGCTAGAGAACGAGCTGAGCAGAATGCCCAGCAGAAGGTAAAGTTTTCAGTTTTAACTTCCAACAGCTGGTGTCTTAATTGGCTAACAATCATTTGCTAAGTACACTATTTTTTCATGCTTCTTGTAGAGCCAGGAGCCAGTTATGGTTGAGATTCCAAAAGAAACACCAGCAGGTAATTCTTAATAATGGCATTATTAATTTCTTGTGGATCTCATTATTGAATTAATTGATTTTTATGTATCTTGTTTGCCTGTTGATGAGCAGATGAAAGGAACATTCCCCCATCCTCACCTGTGCAAGGGCAAATTCAAGGGGATAATGGGAGTAAGACAAGTAGTTCAAGCAGCTCAAGCAGCGATTCAGGCTCTTCATCAAGTGGTACTTTAATTAATTATTTAGTTATGAGATGTCTTACCTATTATTCATGCTAATGCATGCTAACTTCAGTTTGTGAATTTAGTCATGTGTTCTTTCTGATCTTTATTTATTTATTTATTATATTTTTGCAGATTCTGATAGTGATAGTTCCTCAGCATCTGGGTCTGATGCAGGTTCACAAAGAACCTGAACACATTCTGTCAGGTTGAATCACAACTACCTATGTTTTATCTTGCTATGTGCTCCACTTTTTTTTTTTTTCCTAGTATGTGTTCTGCGTCATACCATTTGTACTCATGTCATTCATTACATAGAGTGACATAGGTATTTCTCACGATGTTTTTTCTTTTAACTATCATGATTTTGTTGCTCATAAATGATGAGTAATACTGGTTTACCTTAGATTTTTAGTTGAATGCATTTCTGGTGCTTCATGCTTGTTATAGGTATACTGTTACTTATCCATTCAAGCTGAATATGTCTGCGTATTGAAAATTTAAGACAATCACATGTTACAGGTTTAATAATTAAGATTCAATTTAAAATTGAATGCTGTGCCAGTGCCCTGTGGTTAATTTTTGGAGTGTGGGTTTGTCTTTACTCTTTAGACTCCTTGCATTTTGCAGATTTAGTGGGAATTTTTTGATGCCATTTTCTGTAAAATTTAACATCTATTTGTATGCTCTTCCTTTTTGAAGACTTCTCATTTTAAGGTCCTAAAAATGAAACATTTACCTTTTTGTGGGACTGTATATTCTCTAGTATACCTGTTTGCATATGTTCCACGTTTTATTTTATATATTCCCTCCATTCGTTGAGAGCATTTTTATTGGCACAACCTATGCCATTCTAGATGTGCTGAATTTAGTTTTTCTGGTCGTGTGTAATTGTCCTAGGAAATGTGATTTCCACTAAAATGCTTTCTACTATTTCGCTAATTGCTCACAGCTGATTTTTTTTAAACTGGTATTGTGTCTGCACGGGTGTGAACATTTATTGTGCCATGCTGATGGAGATGCAACTTTGATTATAAAGAGATTATTGGAAGATTGCATATCAGTATACCTAGAGTTTAAACAAATAATATCTGCTTGAAAATATTGGAAGCATATGGTCTTGGAAAGTAAATTTACTGTGAAAAGTCATGTTTTCTCTCGTATCTCATAATTCTCTGAAAGTTATTTGGTATTTGGAAATATTTGGTAGGGACCAAAGTTTTAAAAACCGGACCGGTCATCGAACCGGTTAAGGTATTGGGTCAGTGGGTCAAAGGTTGAACCGATGGGTCACTGGTTGAACCGCATGACTCGATTTTTATTTATTTTTATTAAAAAATATTCATATTAAATATATTTATACTTATAAATTTTAATAAATTCATATCTTATTTTAAATTTAAATTTTTCTATCTTATTTAAAATTATTTTTATTTTTATTTTGTAAAAAAATACATAAAAAAATTACATGTTAAACGGTATATTAATACAAATTAAAAATATAAATAATATGTACATATATAATATGCTTGCAATTAATATCACAAAATAATATATGTAATATTTACATAGATATTGAATTATTAAATATATAATTTAAAATTAATAATATACTATAAAAGTTATTTAAGTTGTATATATTGCAAACAAATATATTAGAACAAGTAGTCATTGTTATATTTAATAAGACTCCTTGCTTTTTCATTAAGAGATTCAATTTTCATTATTATTTTTGTGATTTATGGTCCCTTAAAAAAATTTAAAAAAAAAAAAGAAAAAAAAGTGGTTGAACCGGTTTGACCCACCGGTTCACCGGTTGAACCGGAAAATTGACCGGTTCAATCCGGTTTGAAACGGGTCGACTGCATAACCGATCCAACTTCAGATTCGGACCGGCTGGACCACCGGTTCCCGGTCCAACCGGTCCGACCGGCCGGGTCGGTCCGGGTTTTAAAACACTGGTAGGGACTGTCATGAATGCAGTATTGAAGGATTCTTTTGTAGTACTACATTTGTTTGTAAATTGATTTTTATTTATTATTATTATATTTTTTTTTTGGTTATGGAGCACTAAGCGGTGCCACTATTAGCATTATCCCCGCATACTGTTTTATTAGATTTTACAATGTACGAGTTTGTGTTTGAAATGCTGGTTTCTGTCTACTTATTACTGTTTGTCTATCTGTTAATGATGATTTGTTTTGCTTATTCTATTACATGTCTTATCTGCGTTTGTGATGTTATCCATTATAAACTAGAGAAACAGAAATGCATTCTTGTGGAATGACATCTTTATCTTGTACAATGCTACAATTTGCATATAATAGCTATTTATGCAATATTTGTCTTGATTTCTGTTTTTCGCATTCACAATTTAACGCAATTATTTTTTTCTAAAAGTATAGTACCATGTGAATTGAACTAATCAAAATCACGTGCCTTGCAATTTATCAGACTGTCTGAATATATTGATCACAGAAATTGTGTACTGCTTCTAACTTTTTATTCGTTGTTTCATTTCATGTGGGTGCGGCAGATCTCTGATATTTAAGATTAGATACTGATGCGATGATTGCCTAGTTGGTTTTTTTCTCACTTCCAGATTATGGATCTGAATTTAGCTGTTGGTTTTTTAGAGGAAGCATTCTCGAGGCCACATGTGATCCTACAGATGCAGTATGGGATCACTTTCTTTCATCTGTTGGAATTGTTGCACCACTGCTGTATGGCCTTATTTGTGATAACACGAACTCTTGTAAAATATTTGGTAGAATGTGATGATAGGTAGTTCTCCGTAGCAGTGTACATTGCTAACTACTGCTACTCTCATTAAGTTCCATTGATGACTTGTTTTGATTTTGTGCTGGCAGATTCGGGATTCTTGCTGTTATACAAAGATAGTCTGTAATTCAAGTTCTTGAAGTCATTATTGGTTCACATGATATCTCATTCCATATGGTAGCATGAGTTTGGCATCAGTTTGTTTAATAATGATATAGGGGCATTAAGGAAGTACATTTTCATCCTCTGGTTTTGAGAGATATGATCCCGAGCTATTCAGTTAATATTATCTTTTCCGGCTCTCAAATTAGGCTGTGGATGTTACTACAGTTGTACAGTCAAGGAATACAGATATGTTAGGCCTTAGTTTTTGGTTAATGCGTAGAACGAAGTTCCTTTTTTCAAAATGGCCCAACCATTACACGCGTATTCCCATTTTTATTTAACTAGTAGGATTTGGTATGCCTTTAACTCGTATTGGACTGGAAACCGCAAGTGTGAACAGAACTGGTGTTCAACTGTAATTACTCATAAAAAAAGGTTAAGGTGTTTTAACAGAATTGATGTTTGGTACACTTTTTTAGTCAAGTGTAGCTTTTAACCGTTTGGAAATTTTCTGGATGATCAACGCTCAACGGTTATCGATTAAAAGTTGAAGATATCTTTCCGGTCTTGGTCATATTTGAGGTATTCGGTGGTACCACATCTTCTCTATATTGCGTATTTTGAACAGTATTTATTAATTGCTTTATCTTTTAAAAAAGTGAAAGATGGTAAAAAAAAGAATTGTTTTATAAAATAAAATAAATAAACTAAAAACTTAGTAAAACAGTTTATAATTTATAATTTCTAAATATGTACTGTAAGGGCATTGGTTAAACAAATATTGAGTTGGGTATTTGTGAAAATTGTGATAAGAGTAAGCTTGAGTGGAGAATCATAATTATAAGTTGGTAAGAAGCAATGTGAAGTCGAGAATAGACACGAAACGGTATTGATGCAGCGTCTGAAACTTGAAGTGATGCTGATGTCAGTATCAGTATCAGTATCAGTATCAGTCTCCCGCTGCTCTCACGGTTTTGCCTTGCATTTCAAACCCAGACGCTTCACTTCATCTTGTCTGAAGGTTTCACCGTGGCGTGGTTTGGATGAATGGAGGAAGAGTTCTCTGAACGAGAATCGCAGGTGGGGAGAAAATGGTCCAGAATCCAAACCCCAACCCCAACCCCAACTCGTTGATTCTCCATTGGAGCAAGCTTCTTCCTTGGCAGAGCTTGGTTCTATTGTTCTTTCCACCAGCGACCCTCTCGCGAAGTCTCACCTTTCTCACATGGCTTACTCGATGTGGCGCCGCCACAACCTCCCCCTCGGCATTTCCAAACCCCCCTCTCGACCAGCCCGACCCCCAATCCCCCAATTGGTTCCTTTTCTTTATCACTTGCTTTCTTATAATTTCAATTTTCGTTTCTTTTTGCAAATTTCAGGATTAAGTTAATTACCGCAAACTTTTTTCATGTTGCTCAGTTATTTACCCAATCACTGCCTTAATCGTAAACCACGCCATGGATAGTTGCCATTTTACAGTTTGTAGTTGTAACTTGTTTCTATTCTTCTTTTTTACCGTGCAGCCCAAAGTGTTTGTGTTGTATGCCTATTCTATATTGTTATGTATTCAGTATGTTTGACGCGTATCTAGGGATTATCTTCCATTTTTATTTTTCAAGTTTTATTAACTAACGTGTTTGAAGTAGTATGGTTTTGATATGTTGAATAGGATTAAAATTTTGAATGCAATTACACTAGTCAAGATTACACTAGTCAAAATTTTGAAGTAGTATGGTTTTGATATGTCTACCTTTCCTCTGTATCTTCAAGTTATAGTAAGTAGTAGTAGGCAATTACACTAGTCAAGATTTCTTTTGAATTGGACTAAAGATGTCTTTTTATATTGAAAGGAAATTGGCTTTTTGTTATGACCACAAGTAGGTTTTTAGTTTCTTTGGTAAATTGTGATCGTCATTCACTTATATGGTTATATGTATTAATTAGAAATGATAATGCGTCTTTACAAATGTTCTGTATTTATGTAAAAATGTTTTGTATTTTTTTAATAATGCTGTGTGGATTCCTGAATGTTTAATTTTCTTCATGGTTTGAGCTTCATCATAATCATGTGTGCATAACGAAGTTATTCTCTTTCACTTCAGGTTTCTCCTAAGGAAATTCCTTCTCCCAAGGACTCAGGTTTGCCCCTGAATGCTTATATGCTTCATAATCTGGCACACGTGGAGCTCAATGCAATTGATTTGGCATGGGACACTGTCGTCCGATTTTCTTCCTACAGTGAAATTCTAGGGGAGGGGTTCTTTGCTGACTTTGCTCAAGTTGCTGATGATGAAAGCCGCCACTTCTCTTGGTGTGCACAGAGGCTATCTGAGCTGGGTTTTAAGTAAGCATAGTTGTCACTTAATTTTGTTTCCAATTCTTGTTAATTATGCTGATTTTCTGAATCTCCTTTCCAACCAGATATGGTGATATGCCAGCCCACAATTTGCTATGGAGGGAATGTGAGAAATCATCAGACAATGTTGCTGCACGTTTGGCTGTGATCCCACTAGTCCAGGTAACACCCACCCCTTCAGTCTTCCTTGCAAATAGATGTTACCATTTGGTGAAAAACTGCTCAGTAAATATGATAATGTGGCTGTTTTCTTGAGACTGTTTATCTTTTTCCAGCTTATGTGTATCAATTATAGGATATGTGATAAGTAGAATGACTCGTACTGATCTAGTAATAAAAATCATTTTATGCTTTGAAAGCTGCTGGTTTGGTATTTTGGTTAGGCATCATTGTCTATTCGAATAAATCTTTTTTTATATGTGGGTAGAAATTGATGTAATAGTGCTGCTGATTTATGGGTTTCTGAAAAATTTGTCTGGATTTTGGAGTACTTTCATGAATATTACCGGAGGATTCCTTTGTATACAACCTAATTAATTAGGGCCTCATTCATTAACTTCTTTGTTAAAGTTATAATGGTTGGCATTGGCATCAATCCAGAACCACGTTTTACATCAATATACTTGCCCATTGACGTATATTTTTCACTAGCTATTGCCTCTTGCAGAAGGAGAACAAGTTTTTTAGAAAATGCCTGGAAATGCTTCCCGTCATTAACCACATGCTACAGAGATACATAAGCTTTGAATCATGTGAGATGTTCTAAACGTATAAATTTATTTCACTTGTAGGAGGCTAGAGGACTTGATGCTGGGCCACGCCTGGTGAAAAAATTAGTTGGCTTTGGAGATAATAGGACATCTAAGATTGTGGCTAGAATTGCTGATGAGGAAGTTGCACATGTTGCAGTTGGTGTCTACTGGTTTGCTTCTGTCTGTCAAAAAATGAATTGTGCTCCAGACTCCACTTTTAAAGGTTGTGAAGCCTGGTTAATATCAACTTATCTTCTCACATACACACATATTGAAGGCATGCAATGTTCAACATAAAATGTTTCTGTAACCATGCAGACTTACTGAAAGAATACAATGTGGAACTAAAGGGTCCCTTCAATTATTCAGCTCGAGATGAAGCTGGCATCCCCCGTGATTGGTAAGATATTGTACATAACAATTGGTTTTCTTGGCTGTACCTACGATATTTCAGGCTTACATGAAATTCCGTCCTATCACTTCCATCTGAATCCTAACATTTTGGTTGGTTCATATTTTCCTGTTTATAGGTATGATGATGCATCATCCATAAGCATTCAGGACAAGAAAGACAAAGATGGCAACAAAAAACAGCTCTCAGCAGTAAGTGACAATCATCTTCCTCATTTCAGTAATTTTTATGAGTTTAATTTCTATGTACGTATAAAATTGTCAATCATCAAAATTCACAGTAGATATTGTAAAAATCAGTAAACTTTTCATATATGTCAATTTGTGATTTGATGACTTTAAAGTCTATTTACACTATCGGTGCACAAGATTTTTGCTCTATTTATATTTAACTTTCTTCTTGCTTAATAGTTAATATAGATGTGTATCGATGTGTTATTACAGGTATATGAGAGGCTGGCTTCCATCATTGCTATGGAAAAAGAGAATTCAAGTTTGACTAAGCCGCCCGAATGAATTTTCACAATATGAGCCATTTCCATTTTCAACTGGAAAGATATGAACTGATATTGCAAGTCTGGAACTTATCTCCTCAACAGCCAACCAACACAACATTATCATCATCATATGCTTTGAAGTGATACATACGTTTGGTGATGCAATTCTTTCTATTAGCAACCTTATTTGACTGCAAAATCGGAAATTCAGTCCCCGTGTGACGCGTCCACTATTGATGACAAGTGTCAGCAAAAAGAGGAGACAAAACATATTCTTTGTTTTGCGTACATAGACACCGATGTAAATATAAAAAATTTTAATATTTGATGAATGTGTATGATCATTAGAGGCTTAGCGTGATACCGAAGTTGAATGAAGTCAATGAGCATTGCTTAGCTTCTTGGATAGTGTGCCGGGCCATTAAATCCTTCTCATTTTTTTATTTTACATTTACATCGAAGTGATAAAGATAAAAATAAATAGGCAACAGAGACACACCATCATGAACTTGAAAAGTTAAAAAAATTAAAATTAGTATATCATCTATACTCGTATAATTGATAGGGAATGGAATATAGCATACAAGTCCAGGTTGTCAATCTGAACGGTAAAGCACAGAGAGAAGGAGAATCTTTAAAAGCCAAAAAGCAAAATTTTTAAAACAATATCCGGGACAACTCTAGTAAATATGTATTGATAGAGTTACAATGTAAATCAATTATAATTAGAAATGAAAAGTCAACAATGTTAATGATATATTGCCTTATAATTAAACATATTATAAAAACAATTATACTAGCAGTATTTATATGCATATTTTTCTCTTTTTATAATCTTAATCAATGATTTTGTAATTAATAATTTATTATAACATTTTATCTTGTAATTAAAAAAAGGTAAAAGTTGTGTTCCCTTTTCTGGAAAATTTGGTGTTGTGGGAATATCTATCGTCGGAGTGTGGTAGTTAGCTTTTGCTTAAAGGCTCGAAACGCGAATCTCTTCCCTTCTTAAGAAAGAGCAAGGGTTTCACCTACTCACTGCCACAAATTCATAGAGATGTGTAATTCAGAGGGCGAGTGCAGACCCTTAGGTTTTCTCTTGGGTCTCCCCTTCGCCTTTCTCTCCCTCATCGTCTCAATCGTTGGCATTGTCGTCTGGATCGTTGGGTACACTCTTCGCTTCGCTATCATCATTTTTCTTCAATTTAAGAACCATGGAATTTTAATTCAATTTTCGGCTTTAGGGTTCCCTTCATTTCTAATCTCTAACACGCTTGAGCCAAAATATCAAAACGATTTGCTTTCACGTTAATTTCTCCATAGTCATGTTTAAATACCAGCTAAGGTGATTTTAGGTACGTTTTTGCATGTTCAAGAACTGATTTTAGGTTTAGGTCTAGAATTAATTCAGTGGAAGCTAACTTTAGGTAATTTCTGTGTTGGATCACAAATTTTATGCTGAATTTTACTATTTATTCGTTTTTAATACATAAATCACATTATTTCTAACTCAATTTTGACCGTATTCAAATACACATGCCAACACTTTGGTTGATGATATTTGCAGGTTGTTGCTGACATGCATATGCCCTTGCTGCTTGTGCATAACGGTGTTAGTGGAGTGTGCGTTGGAGTTGGTGAAGGCTCCGCTGCATGTCATGGGCTGGTGCACTTCCCAGATTCCATGTTAGCTTCTGTTTCTACAAATTTTATTCTATCACAAAGCTCCTCTCTTGTATTTGCTGGTTTCCTTGATTTTATCAGCCCTTTAATTATTCTTCATTGGATAAACATAAACTATTCACTTCGTTCATATAATTAGCCCTATTTTAAATTTCAGACTGTGTACGAGAAAATTGTAAGTTTTAGTCCTTATATATACCCCTTGTTGTTAACTTTAGAAAGGACTTCAAAACCGTTACAAAGTCTTTCTCGCAGCTATAATTAAATTGCTGCAAAAAAATTATGTAGGGACTAAAACTTGCATTCTTGTTATATAGGAACTACCGGAGAGACTGAGTGAATAGGTTATTTATTTTAATTTTATTGGCTTTTGGTGAGTCTGGGAATTTGATGTTATGGCCTTTATTGTTGATTTGTGTGGTTTGAGAGTTCATAGTATATTGTGGTTTGTTGTACATATATTACAATAATGAACTTGCAGAAATTATTGTTTTGGCTCATTTTGATGACTGATGTATTACGGTTTGCAATGAAAGCAACATATTCGTTGATGGAAGATAGAGTGTAAATTGTATAATACAAACAGAAGCTCAAGGGTGGATTTGTCAATGGTTTGAAAATTTGGGTTGTTTTATCTTCTATTCTGGTTTATCCATCATTAAAGTCATTGTCAATTATCGTGCTTGTGACGCCAAAACAGAACTCTGTTTTGGACTTGGGATTTCTTGGGTACGAGTTTGGCGCATTCAGACTCAAGTTTAAACTATTATTTAATAAGTTCTAAACCAACCTCTGTTTTAAAAATTCTGCTTCCTTTGAAACTTTACTTTTCCCTCTTCCAAAAAATACTGTATACTAAACTGATAAATAATTCGAGCTTTACAGTCTGTGGTTATGCTTTTAATAATTTTAAAGTAAATGCATGATGCTTCCCTTCGAGTTAGGTCTCGCTTGCATATGTATATATATTTGCCTAAAAACCTATTTTGGTCCCTTAAAATAATTGTTTGTTTCAATTTAGTCTCACTTTTATTTTTTGTTTCAATTTGGTTCCAAATAAATTAATTGGTTTCAATTTGGGATTTCCGTCCAAATTATTTAAACGGAGTTAACTGTTGGCCACGTGGATGCCACGTAGATGCATAGGTGAATGCCACGTGGATGCCGTTTTTTTTAAAACACCTGGAATCAGAATGGCCCGTTTTGAAACCAGAACGGGCCGTTCTGGTTGCACTTTTGATGTGTTAATTTTGCATCCGGAACGGCCCGTTCTAGGTGCAAAATTAACACACTAAAAGTGCACCGCAGAACGGGCCGTTCTGGTTCCATACTGCTACACATAAACGATCAATGATTATAGTTCACGGTTGTGAATCATGGAAGGAAAAAGACTCAAGGTACAAAATATTTCAAACACTGAATTTGGTAATATTGTCAATGGAAATTGATAACTTCAATTACTAAACAGTTAGGCTATACAGTGTATTATTAAGGACAATGCAATGTATCACTAAAGACAATAGTAGCAGATTTTATTTCATTTTAAACTGGAGTGAACCACTTACTACCAAATTGAAACTATACAGTAAAGGATGAAATGACATGGTATTTTTCCTTGAAGTCATTAACGATGTACCCCAACAATAACAATTTGTTCTTAAAGAGGTAGAAGCTGAAGTAAAGGAAGAAGATACACAGGACTAACATTTCACCACACAATCATATGCAGAGACAGATCTAAGTTAATCATAGTGGGGACACTTGCCCCACTAAAATTTTTTTCATTCTTTTTTTTATATATAAAATATTAATAATTTTATAAAATATATATTATTAATTATATTTTAATTATGTTGTTATATCTAATATAATAAATATCAAATTTTTAAGAATTTAATTGTTAAATTAAAAAGTTTTTCATGTATAGATCAAATTTATAAAAAATTTTAAAAAATTAAAAATCATATGATACTTCGTTAAATTAATTCAAATTAACATATAAAATATTTTTGTTTTAAATAAATGTAAAAATTTAGAGGACACTAAAAGAAATTAAATTAATAATTTTATTATGTTTATTCTATTAATTTTTATCATTTTATTCTTCTAATTTTAAATAAGTTACAAAAAATTATAAAGTGACACTTAAATATTTCTTCAGACAGAAAGAGAAAAAGAAAAAGTTATTACTCTATTTATAAGACAATTGTATTTTATAAAAATAAGTAATTTTAAAACTTTTACCATAAAAAATTATTTTTTAAAATTATTATTTTTTAATAAAATTAATAAAGATTATTTTATTCTTAGTTTTGGAACGACCTGTTCTGATGTACTCTTGGTGTGTTAATTTTGCATCTGGAACGGCCTGTTTCAGATGCAAAATTAACACACCAAGAGTGCATCCAGAACGGCCCGTTCTGGTTTCAGAACGGACCGTTCTGGTTTCAGAACGGACCGTTCTGATTCCAGGTGTTTTCAAAAGAATTTGTATCCACGTGGCATCCACATGGCATTCACCTATGCATCTACGTGGCATCCACGTGACCAACAGTTAACTCCGTTTAAATAATTTGGACAGAAATCCCAAATTGAAATTAATTAATTTATTAGGAACTAAATTGAAACCAATTAATTTATTTGGGACCAAATTGAAACCAAAAATAAAAGTGGAATTAAATTGAAACAAATAATTATTATAAGAGACCAAAATAAATTTTTAACCTATATATTTTAGTGATTGGAAGATTGAGGTTTAGAAAGCAAGTTGAAAAATAAGAAAAAAATCTTCTTTCTTCTGTCATCTCCTCCACGATTCTTACGCCGGGGGAACATCTTTTTTTAAGATTTCTTTATATTTTTTTTCTTCTCTTTTTTACCTATACACAAAGGATTAATTTGTAGGCACCACAAAAAAACGTTGTGTTTGTAGTTATCAAATTAGACATTATGTATTAAACATCAAAATCTAACAAGATTAATAGATTGTTGAGTTTTTCTTTTTAAAAGAGTAAGGATTTATGTGTTGAGCCGGTGTACAATTGTCTCGTGTATAGTTATTAGAATATTGCGGTTCATATTTGAATCTACCTATCATTGAATCTAGTTATCTATCATTTTATATCATATATAAATCTCGAATGATTTTATATCTTATAATATCTCATTACATTTGATCCAATTTAGTTATCTATCAATTTATATCATATATATGAATCTCAAATAATTTTATATCTTATAATATGTCATTGATACAAATCACACTATTCGAATTCATTATTTTTTATTTTCTTTCACCAATTTTCATGAAAGGATTTGAAAAGTTACATAAATTTATATTGTTAAAATAAGAAATGGAAGGAGTTTTTCTAGATTTATCCTATTTGATTATTCTATTATATTTCATTGTTTAGTTTTCATTATTCTAAAATAGAGGTTTCACAAATTCGGATATAACTAATAATTTTGCTTAAAGAGACTGATGGTTAGGTTGTATGATTTATTTCTTGTTTAAAACTGACATTGAATCTACATGATATATTTAAAGTTATTTTTATTGTCTTCGTATCTTATGATACAACACAATTTACAATTCACGGTTAAAAATTAGCTTGGTAATTCATAATTTGAATATCGATTTGATAACTTTGGTTTGTTGAAAATAGTTACTGTCTAAGAGTGAGTCAAATATATCTTTGGTGGTGTGCATAAAAGAAATTTGCATTTACAATTCATCAATAACATATTCAACATATTTGTGTCTGACTCCTAGGTACACAATACAAGATTATTTTTAATGAAGGATACATGTGATCTAGAAAAAAACTGAAATAATTATTTTATCTTGAAAATGATTCTCCTATCATATTTTTAGCTTAGTTTTTAATAATTGAAATATTTCAGTTGTTTCAAAAAATATATAAAAGGTGTCAAATATATATATACACACTAAAGTAAAATAATCAATATGATAGCTGATAATTCCTGTATATATTTTTTCCATGGTTAAAAAATAAATCTTACATATATTTTTTTTGACACCGATAAATCTTACATTATTAGCCAAGGAAAATAATATAAAAAAAACATAGAAACAACCAATTCCACCTTAGAGTTTTATTAGAGAGTTGAACAAAAATAGATCCTCAGCAATCAATATACAGTTAAATCATAACCATCGATTAGGTATTTCATAATAATTAAATAAGATATATAAAATGATATTAATGGTCTCGATTTTTGCTGTAGAGATAGGAGAGGGTTCTGAAGTCTCGCCGCTTATTCGTCATAGAAAGGAGTAAGTTGGGTTTAGGATCGAGAAATGGATGGAATAGATATTTTTTTAAAAACAGATTATAATGAATGAATTAGATAAAAATAATTTATTAATTTATTTAGATTTATTAAAAATTTATTTAAAAATTTAACTTACTCGATCCATTTTAAAAAAAAACATCAAACTCATTTATTAACATTTTTTTAATGGATGAATATCTAATCCATCCATTAGATACCCATCCATAAAAATAATATTTTAAAAAATATTTTATTTTTATTTTATTTCTTTATGAATCATTTAGTTTTTATATAATTTTTTAAAATTCATAAAAAAATTATGTTAAAATAGTCTTATAAAATTTTAATCTATTAAATATTTTATATTGTAAATGAATTTTGAAAAAATAATGGATAGATATTTGATTATTCTTAAAATTAAATGAATGAATTGAATTCATTCTATTGTTTATTTTTATTGTAATGGATGATCAAATAAATATACTTAAAGATAAATTAAATGGATGATAGATAAATAGATTTTTTTTGTCACCATTGGTTCATCCACTTTTTAAAATGAGTTAAATTTTTTTAGCATACCCTTCTTTAAAATAACTAGTATTTTAGCATATGCAATGCACATGTTAGATATTTATTATATATAACTAAAATTTATAATAAATTATATATATAAATAATATTATGATTGAATATATAAATTATATTTAAAATTATATAAATAAATATTTAAAATAATTTATATTGCAGTATAAATATTAATTTTATTGATAATTTATTTTAAAAATATTAAAATTTAATTCATAAATAATTATGATAAATAAATATTGAATTAGATAAGATATTAAAAAAATCTCTAAAAATTCTCTTGTTAAAGAAAAGTCTGTAAAAATATTTTTACATAAAATAGAGATTCTTCTTTAATTAATAGAAGTTGATTAAGAAAATTTATGAGTTAAGTTGATTAAGCGAAAAATTACAACAATAATTAAAACAAAGCCTTATTCAATTACGTTAAGTTGACTACATGCATCATATGATCTTATTCGGTCCAGTTAAAAAATAATTTTTCTTGAGATTAAGTAAAAATAAAAAGAAAGTAAATTTGATGAGAAGTGAGAGTGTAAATGCAAGTTGAGGTTGATAAAATAATAAGTTTTTTTTTTTAATATCCAATGACATATTCAATATACAACTTAACTTGCTAAAAAACTGACAAGTTAGACGAATTAACCCGTGTGGTCGACCATTTGTTTCTTTTGTTCATTTGAAAAATTTGATGGACAATTAAAATGGTGATTTGGCTCCTTTCAAGG